CATGGTGCATGTATGTGTATGTGTCCTGGTTACTGCAACATAAAGTTGAGTGCGCATGCTTTTCAGTCTTTTCATCGCAACAGTAGCCAAAATAAAGTGACCAACATAAAAAAAGTGAGTGAAATGGCTGTTAAATAAAGAGTTGCGCTAAACTTGCACACGTATGATCTCTGAAAATATGAACCATCTCCAAAGAGACACACACAGAACAGACTCACCATCATCATCAACATCCCTCTGTCACAGAAAGAACACCTGTATTCTACTGAGTCGTGTCCGACAGAACCTGACTGCATCAGAGCACAAGAAAAGAGTTGCTTTTTTCAGTGCTTATAGTTTATGCAAATTAGACATGCAGTTTTAAGTTTCGTTCCTGTAAAACAAATGTGTCAAAGCTGCATTAAACACATTATAATCGGAAACGGGCTGATGTGGCTCTATAGTGGTTATGGTTTATATGTTGCAAAGTTGAGTTTATTTATGCAAATTAGTAATAGTAATAACAATGATGATAATTTTAATAAAAAAACGTTACTGACGAATCGAAAATAGATCATTAATTCTCCCAACAATCGATTAAGAAAATGTAATCGAATGCCCATCCCTAATGCAGACAATAGCAACAACTGTCAAAAAATGTTAAGATTGGCTGAAAACTCAAGAAAAACTCATTTAAACACATTTTCAGAAACTTGTGATCAGTGTGAGAGTTCATAGGCCTGTTTAGGTGTTTGATCTTCAATAAAAAGGTGAGAGTGACTAACTTAAAAACTGTTGTGACTGTAATTATATGTGTGAGGAACAGATTGTGTTTAACAGCACAAATGAGCTCGCTATAGTTTCAGCTAAATCAGTTCTTTATGATCAGATTGTGTTCAAATAAAGCTCAGATTAAAGTCTAATAGAGCTTCTAACAGAGCAGTGCCTTCAGTTAGCCTCACACTCTCGGGGAATGCTGATGACATCCGCTGCAAAGTATCAACAGACAAATGTATTCAATGCTAATTTATCATCACTCTGAAATACAGATTGGTCAAACAAACACAATATTCTATTTGATTTTATAGTTGAATAATGAAAGCAAATAAAAGTGGTTTCAATATTAATTTTAGGGTCATAAATAGATTTTTAATTTGCGCCATTTAACCAAAGCAAATGCATCTATTCCTCCAAAACCTGAGTTCTGGCCAAAAAAATGCTTTCACTGATAACGGAATGACTTTAGACCTGTCAGCTGATTATTAAAGCTGCACTGTGTAACCTTTCATGGGGTAACATTGCACTCCATTTAGTCCACTTCTTTATACAGCGTATGGTCCCAGGCCTCAGCAGCAGATAGCGCTTGAGGGGGACACACCTCTCCTCTGTGTGCTGTTCTGTGGGCTGTGCAGGTGAGTGGCAGCAGGGGCTCAGGGGGAAGTGTCCTTTAGGTGTCTTAATTATGGCGCTCTCCTCCCTCTCGCTGTCACTGTCCCACAGGGAGCCAGGACAAAAGCAGAGCCACTGTTTCATCTGGGCGGCCGTGGTATTTGGAGTCCCGGGGGGAGAGGGAGAGGGAAGGGGGGGCACAGGGGGGAAGCGGCTACAAGCACATGAGAGACAAGATATCAAGAGAGCTGCTTCAACCTTTCCACAGCCACAATTTAGGCAGACAAGAACACAAATAAAGTGGGTTTATAGGAACAAGAATATAGGTTTTGATGCAGTTTTGGTTTAAAATAATGATGTTGAAGTCACGGGTGGCATGGTGAAGGTTTTTTACATTTTCAGATAGCCTTATAATGAGCTTTAGCCATGTTAGTATGATGTTACCTCACCAAACATTCAGCCAAAATAGGCAGGGTTTGTGTGTTAAACATGTGTGAATGAAACAAAACAACTCTGGGTATGTTGTGATGAGGCAACAACATTGTAACGTAGATCAGAAAATAGTGTGCTATGGGCCTTTTAACTGAATAAAATGTAACAGGAAGGCAGTAGAAATGAACTCCCTCTAGATAAAAAATCATGTCTTTGGAGTAATGCATTTACAGCAACTTCCACTCTTCAATGCAACTTCAGTACTTCATAAAATCAACTGAAAATGCTTAATTGTTAAGCTAAAATACTTCCTTTTCTTTGATTATTTCAGAAAGTGACAACATAACATTAACAACTTGAGCCTTTAAGTCCATCAGAGAACAAAGAGAAAGAGCCAAAAAGTTGCCAGTGACACAAAGAGAAGAAAAGACGCCCTGATCACTGTGAAGCGTTTAATGAGCTCAAAGCTGCCGTTGGCTCAGACCTGCTTTATTACTTTGTTGTGGAGAGATGAAAGTGATGGAGACTGAAATCACTGAAGACCCATTTCAGTGATTTGTTGTGTAGTTACTCCGCCTTGCATCGATATCAGTATCAGATATCGGCACCAATACTGAAAATATTGATGGATTGGAAGGTGCTAACCGTCACACAAAAAGCTGGACTTCTGGACATGCTGAAGGAAGGTAGAAGTTACGCAGCTGTAGGCCGCCATTATGGAATAAATTAATCTTCAGTTCATTACATAAAGAAAGAGGAAAATAAAATAAGAACATCAGCAGTAATAAGTTTTAAGGATGCAAAAAGGGTTATAACTGTCCTGTCTGACAAAACTGTATAAAAGAGGGGTTTTACAGCCTTAAAACATATATAATAATTGTAAAAAATAAAGCTACTGCAACCCCCGCGATAAACAAGGGACCACTGTATACAGGTATAAGTTGGAAAAAACAGAGGTAAGCAAATGAAAATAAAAGTCAACTTATATCAAATCCTGAATAGTGAAAAATAATTTTAGAATTAGCATTAAAATACATTTGAATATATAAAACTAAACCAGGAACCAAGCCTTCACACCACAGATATGCTGCATTTTCTGTTAAGAGACATTTTTTCCTTTTAGCCCATGTAGCCCATGACAATAAGATCCATCTATCTCCATTAGTGTTGGACTCACTCCAGGTAAGATAACAAGATCTAAACTCCTCAATAACTAAAGAAAGATTGATTAGAAAAAAGCATCCTTAATTCTTGAAACATCATTTTCAGGAGTAAGAGCACAGCAGAGGGGCAGCTCATGTCAAGATGTTGAGGAGATAAACAAATCAACTAAACTTTAAATAATTGTTAATGAAATATTTATGGAATGCTTCAGAATGTGTCCCAAACAACACCTTGACACATCAATACACACAGATCACTGCAGTTAATTATTGATAGGGACAAATTGCACTCATTGGAGTTTTGGCGGCGACCACGGTGGATATGAATATAAATGCGCGTATGAAGAAGGTATTACGCTAAAATGAAGAAAAAGGGGTCTGGCGGGCGGAGGAGACGGAGTGATGGGAGCACGAGCAGGTAAGGAGCATTAGAGAGATGTGGAGGCAGTCTATAAAGGCAAACTGCTCCTTAATGTCTCTCACAAGTGTGATAAAAGCACAAAGCTACGCCGCACAACCGTGGCCTTTTCCATTTATGTGAAACCAACAAGCCGACGCTCAGAATAAATGCTAATAGAAAATGATTTTGCAAATGGGTCGGTGCAAACAAACAATCTTAAAAAGGTCAGGTCTTTTTGCGCTGGGACATAAGACCTCTCCAATGGAAATATTGACTGAGGAGAAGGCGTTGAGATGCAAAGTATGGTTTTCAAATGGGCCAAGGTAAAGAGCAGCGGGGAGATCTGTATTCCGTCAGGCTGCAGTCTTATAAATATTGGAAGAAGGACACCGGTGCGAGCGGAAACAGGCAAATGGTGCGTTTGAGAGATCGCCCACCTGAGCTCCCACTCAAATACCATCTCCTGCCGTCACATCTCATCTCATTTGATCAAAATAATTGCCACCTTCATCGTTATCATCAATTCTGTCATCGCGAGCGGCGCCAATGCCAGGCTCGATCTCATCAGGGCGTCTTTAGCTCCGAGGGGGGGATTTCTCGAGTTCACGCCATCCCCATCCGCGCACTGTACCCTCCGAGTCATCACCATATTCATTACCTTTAATGCGCTGACATTTTGTTCACCTATTCGGATATTCTGACACGCGGAGATCTGCGGCTCAGGCAGAAATAGCTGGGTTTTATAGGGCTCGTCCAGGTCCATCAAAAGTCCACCTCTCTCACTTCTCTGATTTACATGGTATGAGAATAAAATATGAGCAGGACTAACAGCATAGGCGTACTCTAAAAATATCACTAAAGCTGGGTGCTTATTAACACATGGTCAACAGCCTGTTAGATTAGATAAATGAACAAAATGTTTTCAAATGATATCAACTGCCATGTTAAGATGCATACAGGCTCCTAATACACTTCTCCTCATGTCGGGGGATAAAACATGACATGCTATATGTGTGTTTAGATTAGTGAATGATATCATCAGATCACTGTCCTGTGTGTTTGTATGAGCCTCATTATATGAAGTGAAAATTGAACTCTGTTGTCAGCTGTGAGTACATGTGCTTTGTTTGATCCCTGAAACTTTGACATACTCATGAGTGTGCTGTTGTGTAAGTCACTGGAACCTTCTCTGTGATGTTGGAACAGCTGCTCTCATCTGCTTCCACTTTAGAGCCTCATAATGATGGAGAAACAGGTCCCTTATATTAAAGGCCCATAGCAACACCAGCACACATTCTAACACATGCCAACACATGTACCAGGCTCATACGCTCTGCTCCTGTCACACAGTGTGTCTGACACTCTCCAGCCCAGTGCCCACAGTCAACTCCATACCGCTGTACAACAATCACACTGCACTAAACAGGCCACATTTAAGAGCATCTCAAATCCAAGAGAGCAGTTTGTCATTAAACATGAAAGCCCGGGGCCCAGAGACACTCAGTAAAACTGTGTTTATGGACAAAAACAGTGCCCTCTGATCCACAGTGTTAGCCTCATGGAGCTAGAGTTTGTGTTCTCTGAAAAGACCATACACCACATCGTGCAGAGTGGAGCAGTGCTACACTGAGTCTTACCTTGGCCATTTGGGCCTGGACTCCAGTGGCTTTGAGAGATGACACGGCCTTCTGCGCTGCAGCTGGGCTGTCGAAGTCCACAAAGCCATATCCTGTGGAGGACACACACACGTGTTAGAGAAGAACACAGTACTAACAAGGGGAATGACACACTGGTGTAATTGTAGCAGTAATAGGCTGGTAACATGACGACAGAGGCTGCCACTTTTCATATCTACTGAGCATTACATTGTTTGATAATTAGTGACACTGACATTCATAGGGGGATGCTATGCATCTTAATTAGTAGCATGGATGAGCAATTTAGTAATAACAAACCACCACCCTGCCCACCTCCACAAAAACACTTATGTACACACTCTCAGCACACTCACGTGCACATTCATGTGCACCCCCTCATGCACACTCACGCTCACATGCACACACACTCACGTGCACACTCCCAAGCACACTCACACACACACATGCACACACACACACACACGGACACACACACAGAGCTGGGCCATCAGAACAGAGACTGCAGTTATTCTGCTCCATGCTCAACACTCTGTAGTTTAATGGCATCTCATAGAGCTTTGTTGGAACAAGAGCTGTAATTCATATGAGCCTCATTTGGATTGGTCGTCCATTATTTGACTAATAAAACGCACCGGTAACACACAAAGAGAGAGACAGTGTCAGTGGATTCATCAGCACATGACTGAGTCAGTGGCAGTTTGGGGAGCAGCCTTTGATTTGCACAGACTGTGAAGTTTGGCTTCCCCACATCGTGTTCTGAACATCCGGCACATTAACACAAGCCATTTCACAGCCGCCATAATCCTCTCCTGGTAACAAATCTTTCAGCTGACAGCACTGGAGCTGCTGCTTTACTCTGTCCTCTCATACATACAAATACAGTCAAATAGACAGAGAATCTGGACAAGTGTTTGTAGTACATTTCTGTGAGTGTGTCCTCTCCGTCTCTACACCTCTGCCTGTTTAACGCATGTGCTCCCTCTCATATCTCCTCACATTAACAACCAGCAGCCCCATCTGGAAAACCATCAGCGCCGAATGAAATGTGTGAGTGTGATTTATGAGTTATTGTGATCCCGGCGTTCTGCGCGACGTATCGGAGAGCGGGGTCGCGTCTGTGTTAATTAAAATTTGGTGGCGGATTAAAAGCAGTCAATAGTGCCCTCTGATCTGCTGTTTCAGAGGAAAATGTAATTAGAAAAGGATAAGGTGACATGGCTGTGGAGGTGCCCAATCATGTTAGCCCCAAGAAAGATACAGTCAAAATGTTCACATAACGGCATGCATGCACCGTCCATCATTCCTGACTGGTTAAAGAGCTGTTGTATGGGTAAATCAAAGGTGCACTATGTAACTTTTCTAGTGGAAGGTCTGCCACTTGCTTGTCTCCATGGAGATTGCATTTTTTCACGTATTGCTTTGCCTGTAATATTCCAATATGTGGCATTACATTTATCTAACATCAAGTAATAGTGTTTATATTGCACTGAAAAAAGCATGTGTCCTTACTGTGAATAAGCTTGCTTCTCCACAGATCTGACTTGTCATCTGCTTGTGCATCTTTAAACCCATACTGGTCAAAAAGTAGTCCACAGACTTATTTAGTCATCTTCTTTTAGGCCTGTCATTATAATTACTACATTGATTTATCATTTAATATATGAAAGCTGGAACAATAGATTTTGGGCTAAGTATTTATCTTTTTTTTTTGCTAAATTTGGGAGACTTTTTAAATAAATAGGCAAAATGTTGAGCAGTAGAGGGTAGAATAAGTGACTTCTGTGGTTAATGGTTGTTTAATTAATGACTGATACAGTATATTTAGATATTTTTTTAGATCTTGGTTTATTTTAATGGTGGCATCAGTGGCAAAAAAACAGTTTCAATATTATAATTTATTGCAATATATCTTTATAGCAATATATTGTGCTCCAAAATTTGTTATGGTGACAGGCCTATCTTCTTTCTCAGAGTCCCGGTCAGACTTCATAACTAACATCTCACTTTTTTGTCGTTTTTCTGTGAAATGTGTCTGGGTGGTTCAGGTGGAGGTAGTGGGGTCATTATACTGTTAGATGGCGCTGGAGGAGTGTAGAGTAATGTGAAAATCAGAACCTATGCTGGGAGCAATATGGAGCACAGGGCTGATTAATGGCCAGCTGCTGGAATGGAGCGGAGAGGGGAGGCTCTTTAATTGTAGAAATATGAAGAGGCCCAGTGAAATACCCCCATTCAGACAGCACACGCACAAAATGAAGACTTTTATGTGGACGCTAATGGAAGAGAGAATTATACAGAAATGTGATGGCCAGCTATGGGCACATATTACAGCGCTCATCTCAGTGCAAAGCTAGGATTATGTTAAATGGTAATAACAATGTTTCTGTACACATTTTTCAATAAAATATCATCAAGTAAACACTACATTTACCACAGACTATATAAAAAAGGGGACTATGAAGGGTTCAGCTTCAGTCAAATCAAGTTCACCGAGGTTTGCAGTAACAGGGACAAATCAGAGGAGGAGTTCCAGGAAGTGAAATGTATTTACGGACAAATAGCATCATAAAAACACCAGGAATGGTTAATGGTTAATGGGTGGGTTAATACAAACGTTTTAAGACCAAAATGCAGAACCTGAGAGCAGCAGTTACAGAGACGGGGCAACGTTTTTCAAAGTGAAGTGGAGCCAGAGTCAATGGAGCTGGAAGCGTGTCCCTGCTCACTTCCTATTTGGAACATGATGGTAAGCAGGTTTAGCCTGATCAGACAGTTTTACTTTGTGGAAACCATCTGACCTGGCAGCATTAGGATTTGTTCGCTCGATGGCAGACAGATACTTCTTTCATTTAACCAATCGCTGTTATTTGGTCGTGACGTATGTAATGTGCCAAATCCTGCAGGAAGAAGGGCAATAATGTCTTTCCCCTAAAATTCAGGCGGAAAGACATCTTTGTTCCAGCTTTAATTCCTCAATCTCGGGAATCGTTGCCAACACAGAATGTATGACTTTGTCTACATCCATCTCAACGGCTTTGTTTACTGTTGTGCTGTACCACAAAAGGGACCCAGGCAGGTGCTTGAGTTTGACATCATGGCTTCACGGCTCTTCGCTGATTGACTGGGGCACGGTTTACAGCGTCCAGAGTTCTTGCAAACTGTCTGAGTGTTTTCAGGATATAGACCTAGTCGCTGGAGAGCGATGAAATTGAGCGGAGGCACTAGATGGTGCCAGCCTGGCTAAAGCAGGTTAGCTATGTAGAGTCTGACATTTATGGTTTTTTGGTTACTTAAAGATGCACTATGTAACTTTTCTGGTGAGGGGTCTGCCACCTGCTTGTCTCCATGGAGATGTTATTACTTTGCCTGGAATGTTAAACAGCATGATTTAACACTAACATCCTGCATCAATCTTTATTTAAAATGTGCTCCATTATTTTTAACTTCACTCAAACTACCCATTTCAATGCTCAAGGAAATGCAGTTTTTGTGCTCTCTGCTGATGTTTTTTTTAAAGAATCATTTCAGCTAAGATTTGAGTCATTTCCAAATAAGACTATAAAAAGTTATACACCAGGAAATGGCAAGATTTAAGTTGTTTTAAAAGTCTGCCTCCCTTTAAGGCTTGTTGGAACGTATCCCAGCATTTATGACTCTTTTATTCTATTTGAACCCACAATCTTTTTGGTAATGGGAAAGAGCATTAACCACTCTGCCATTCTGCCATATATACATCAACATTTACCTTACAGTTAAAGGAACAGTGTGTAACTTTCTGCAGGTGGCACATCCTCTGTGTGATACCATAGAAATAGAAAGGTAAAACCATACTTTGGTACATCCTCCATGAAATTTCATGCCATACTGTGGAAAAGTATACACAAAAAGCAACATTCCAATGGAAACAAGCAGAAGGAAGCAGAGGTTTGTGGAGATGCAAGCCCCTAAGAGTCAGGACACATACCAGTGTTTTTCAATGCATTAGAAAAAAAGCAAAATGAAAAATAAAGATTTTATTATTAGCTTTGTTCATATTTTTGGTTTGCTAAGTTACATACTGTGGCTTTAAACAAGGAATTAAACAGACTTTACACATCTCTGGCAAAACAATCCTTATAGTCTACTCCTTCCGTCTGTTCTAGCATGAGTTTTAGTTCTGCTTTTGGTTGCGAGCCAGTGTCATGAGGCTGGCAGCGTGATCCTCTTCACTTCTCAGTTATTCATTCCAATATTCATTTTATCCACTGGTCAAGTATGAAATTTTATTACATATTTGTGTCCAAAATGTAGAGTGGACAATTAAGAGGGAAAGAATATATTTGGATTCAAGAACAAATTAAAAGTGTATTTTGCACAATGTAACCAAGGGCTTCCGGGCAAAGGCCAGTTCTTGTTTAATAAAAGTAATATTTGAAGGGTGGATACGGGACTCTCAATTATAAAAGTAATATTCACCCACTGCCACCTGGAGTGCACTTCCAAACTAAAAGAAGAGTGAGGGTTTTGGAGAAGCTTGACCTATATTCACAGTGCTTTGAAAGAAGGAGAGGACGAAGGTGTAGTGAGTGAGCCAGGGCAAGTATGGGGCAAACAGGGCTTACTGGAGGTCAACCAAAACAAAGGGAGACAGAGTCTTGGTCACATTGGAAGTGTACTTCCTTCTGCTGTGTTTGTGTGTTTAATGAATAAATAAGCATGAAATCTATTGGAAAACGAATACTATATTTAAAAGGATGAAGCAAAACAACCCCACTTTATATATTTGGCAATTCAGAATACATGACTCTTTTGAAGGTTATGGTGAGAAGAGTCATATGTTTCTATGTTTAATGGGGCTTATCTGATATTTAAATATTATTTTCAATTGAATGGGTATTGAGCATGTCTTGAAATTGTAAAATAGGCTAAAGAGAATGCAGTACATCTAAAGACATTAAGGCTACGTTTATATGATGACGGTCTGAACAGAAGATGCAAAAGTGGCAGCGCGTCTTCACTTTATATTCTGCGTTTAGATAAGGATTTTTGGGAGGAAATCTGTGTGCATACAGTTCAAATTCAAATGGGTATG